ATGGTGGAGCAGGAATCTATTAACGGTGGGAAGTTCTAGAACAGTGCTCTTGGGTGTGCTTAGTGTGCATTAAGATGTGGTCACTCTCGCTCTCTCCTATTGACAAATACACAGGTTAGGTTTGGGTGTGTTTTTCTTTTTCCTAACAGGGCCTTTAATATTTAAAGACATTAACAGAGAGATTACAGAGAGAGTCACCATCCATGTTTAGAATATACAGTATGGATTCCTTATGAACAAACATGATATGGCTATATGGCGACTATATACTAATTTCAACATCACATTATGCCGCAGGCAGAGACAGTGCCTTCGGAAAGTATTCAGACCACTTTACTTTTTCCACATTTTGTTACGTTACAGCCTTATTCTAAAATTGATGAAATTGTTTTTTTCCCTCATCAATCTACACACAATACCCGATAATGACAAAGCAAAAACAGGTTTTTAGAAATGTTTGCTAATTTATACAAATAACAAAAACGGAAATATCACATTCACATAAGTATTAAAACCCTTTACTCAGTACTTTGTTGAAGCACCTTTGGCAGCGATTACAGCATTGAGTCTTCTTGAGTATGATGCTACAAGCTTGGCACACCTGTATTTGGGGAGTTTCGCCCATTATTTTCTGCAGATCCTCTCAAGCTCTGTCAGGTTGGATGGGGAGCGTTGCTGCACAGCTATTTTCAGGTCTCTCCAGAGATGTTCGATCGGGTTCAAGTCCGGGCTCTGGCTGGGCCACTCAAGGACATTCAGAGACTTGTCCCGAAGCCACTCCTGCGTTGTCTTGGCTGTGTGCTTAGGGTCATTGTCCTGTTGGAAGGTGAACCTTTGACCCAGTCTGAGGTCCTGAGCGCTCTGGAGCAGGTTTTCATCAAGGATCTCCGTTCATCTTTCCCTCATTCCAGACTAGTCTCCCAGTCCCTGCCGCTGAAAAACATCCCCACAGCATGATGCTGCCACCCCCATGCTTCACCGTAGGGATGGTGCCAGGTTTCCTCCAGACGTGATGCTTGGCATTCATAATGGCCAAAGAGTTCAATCTTGGTTTCATCAGACCAGAGAATGTTGTTTCTCATGGTCTGAGAGTGTTTAGGTGCCTTTTGGCAAACTCCAAGGGGGCTGTCATGTGCCTTTTACTGAGGAGTGGCTTCCGTCTGGTCACTCTACCATAAAGGCCTGATTGGTGGAGTGCTGCAGAGATGGTTGTCCTTCTGGAAGGTTCTCCCATCTCCACAGAGGAACTCTAGAGCTCTGTCAGAGTGACCATCGGGTTCTTGATTTCTTTCCTGACCAAGGCCCTTCTCCCCCGATTGCTCAGTTTGGCCGGGCGGCCAGCTCTAGGAAGAGTCTGGGTGGTTCCAAACTTCTTCCATTTAAGAATGATGGAGGCCAATGTGTTCTTTGGGACATTCAATGCTGCAGAAATGTTTTGCTACCCTTCCCCAGATCTGTGCCTCGACACAATCCTGTCTCGGAGCTCTACGGACAATTGCTTCAACCTCATTGCTTGTTTTTTTCTCTGACATGCACTGTCAACTGTGGGACCTTTATATAGACAGGTGTGTACCTTTCCAAATCATGTCCAATCAATTGAATTTCCCACAGTTGGACTCCAATCAATTTTTTGTAACAATCCATTTTAGAATAAGGCTGTAATGTAACAAAATGTGAAAAAAGTCAAGGGGTCTGAATACTTTCCTAAGGCTCTGTATCATACACAGTCCATGAGCTAATAAATTAAGTTTCAGGTTATTACCCCACATGCATCATCTACAGGCTGACAGGTAATATCTGGAAGGAAAGGTTTTATTGACAGTTATTCCAACTGGAAGGAAGGATACGCACCAGTGTCTGGTTTTATTGCCTCTTTCTAGGCTATATCCAAATGGCACCCTATTCCCTGCATCAGGGTTCCCTAATAGGCGTCCCGCATACCAAATTCAACCCGCAGGTGATTGTATTGGGCCCACCAATTTTTCAGAGCAAAAATAAATCAAATAAAAAATAATGATAATTTATATAATATTTGTTGTTGGGCAGAAAAGACTGTAAAATCACCAGGAAATCACCTCAAAGTGATTTTAATTTAGGAAATCTGTTCCCACGTATTCCCACACATAAATAGAGATGCATATGTGATCCTATTCAAATGTAATCAAGGTTTGAAATGTCAAATACTATATCTGTTTGGGATTCTTGAGGTCAGTTTGCAGTGTACAAATTATTTATAACTATGTTCCGGCCCCCTCGACCATCCACTCAAGAAAAAATCGGCCCACGGATTAATGTAATTGGGGACCCCTGCCCCACATAGTGCACTACTTTTGACCAGAGCCAAATGGGAATAGGGTGCTATATAGGGAATAGGGTGCCATTTGGGATGCAGACCTAAAGAAGGGCCATATTAATTATTCCTGTTATGCCCATGGCACCTGCACCATCTGAAGAAAAAGGGTTCGCTTTGTTGTTGCTTTGTTGCATTTTAAAGACTTCAAAACATTAGCAAATGCTAGTGACTGTTGCTAGTGTGTGGGTCAGTTGGTGTGTTTGTGTGTGTGTGCATACGTGTGCGTGTATGTGTGTGCGTGCGTGTGCGTGCGCGTGTGTGTGTTACTAATGGGAAGTTCGGCTCTTTTTACTGACTCTGATCTTTTCAACTCGTTCAGTCAAAAGATTGAATCTTTCGACTCATTTCGTTAATTTGAGTCAGTAATGCCCAGAGCATGCAATACCCTCTACCGGCGAACGATGAACTGAAAACTCGAAACAGTGATGATTCTACACGCCTCTCGTTCACGTCATTCAACATGTTCAATCCGACCTGCTTCACCGAGCAGCGCAGAGCTGTTGTGAAGGAAGTTGTCAAGGAAGTGAGTTGGTGTTTATACAGGACCTCCCGCCCCCACCTACCGTCAACCAATCATGTCAATGCGGAGCTATACGGAGCTATACGGAGCCCTCCGCATTGTTACAACATTTGAGAGGCGCACTGTGATGTGGTACAGAGCTTGATTTGGCCTCTGCATGCCTCAAGAGGCTCCGCAATTGCGTCACAGCCTCCATACAAAGCATAAATTGGCTTTTAATCCTGCTGTAGCACTCATTGCAGCCAGCAGGTCAAACGAACGACTCAAATTAACGAGTCACTCCGAAAAACGAATCATGAGCATTGAGTCAGTAAAAAAAAATTATTTAAAAAAGAACAAATCGTTCGCGAACTGAAGATCACTAGTTCGTGTGTCTGCTTGTGATCGTGTGGGTCTCTGCAGGTGTGTGTATTTTCTCTGATTGTGTTTCTCTGATTAGTGTGTAACGGCAGCGCAGTCAGATTTTACTCTGGTTTGAGACGTCAGCAGTAGGATATCTCTGGATTATTTGTATGCTAATGAGGGGTCCATGACGAGTTGAGTACTAATGAGTTAGAGAGGGAGGCTTCAGACAGGGTGTCTCAATGTACTGTTTAGAATTAGAATAATAGAATACACAAGGTGCAATTTTGAAATTTGGTTGTGCATCAGCAGTCACTCAATTGGCTGATGTAAAAAAAAAAAAAAAATGGATTGGTAAATTAGTCTAGTGGCCAGCTATCTAAACTTGTAGTAAGCATGGTCTAATTACCGACCGGCCTGGGGCCCATTGATCATCAGTTATCATATTAAAAACTGCAAACATTTGCCTCCACCCCGTGGAAAAATGAGTAGAATTGCATGAAATTAGTTATACAATTGCAAAAAAAATATTCTCTCCACACCATGGCATAATCTGTAGAATTGCAGTAAACTTGCTTTAAAACGGCAAAATATTCTGTATGACCCATGGCAAAATGGGCAGAATTCCAAGAAATTAACTTTAAAATGTAATTTGCTTGCAAGGTGGGGAGGGGGTATGGATGTGGGTACGCATACCCAAGAGCCACTGCGGCCCCTCATGATGACTTCCGTCAAAGTTGCCCATCCCTGAAATACACAAACAAACATGATGTAAATAATGACTTTCACGCATTGATGATTGACAGAAATGAATAAAATGTAGAATATTGCAAATGATTAGAGTACAATTTACATCCCTGGCCAAATTGCTAGGCTATTTTCTTGCCAGCAGAGATACATTTAAATGGAGCTTTGGGAAGGAAATTGTGATTTTTCTTCTCCATTGTCTGTGTAGTGCAGTGAATCACAATGTGACATGTGAACGGACGCCATGATTGTGGCAGGCAGACTGATCTGTTCTCATGTTCATTCAGCAGTTAGCTCATACTGTGTGTGCGTGTGTGTGCATGTGTGTGTATGTGTGTGTGCATGCGCACATACATGCATGTCTGTATGGAGAGAGCTCAGGAGCAGGCAATGTCCCTGGGTGCGTACACACACAAGGCTGACACATGCTCAGAGCATGGCTGGTCAGCACTCAAAGGAACCAGAGGCAGACAGAGAGGCAGATGTGTGATGCATGTAGAGAGCTGTAGAGTGAGGGAGGTAGCATCCTGCCATCCTGCCCAGTGGTCCAGGAGTTCAGGTGTTAATGGGAATTGATGCGTCAAATTACCCAGCCCCTGAGCCCCTCTGCTGGGGAGAGAAGAAGGAGAGGAGGGGGAGAGGTCCCTGGAGAGGGAGAGAGGGAAGGGAGGAGGTGGGGGGAGGTCTGATAAAACTGAATGATTTGGATGGTGGGAGGAGAGGAGAGAGGTGCCAGGAATCATAATTCTATCCTCTGCCATTCTGCCGTCTCTAACACCCCTCATCTCTTCCCCTCGCTCCCTTTCTCTCTCTCTCTCTCTCTCTCTCTCTCTCTCTCTCTCTCTCTCTCTCTCGCTCTCGCTCTCGCTCTCGCTCTCGCTCTCTCTCTCTCGCTCTCTCTCCCCTCTCTTCTTTCCCTCTTTCGCTCCCCTCTCCCCATCTCTCTCCACCCCCCCCCTCTCCCTCTCTCTCTCTGTCTCCAGCTGCAGTGCAGAGATTGCAGCGGCGGAGGCCCCCGTCAGGCTGTCAGGTGACCAGGACGACAGCACTGACATCACCGCTCCCCCGCCGGACTGTCACTCCTCTGCTGTTTCCATGACAACCACGACGGCCTGCGGAGCGGAGTCTTGCGATGAGCCTGTAGCAGAAAGAGAGGAACTAGCTGCAGAATGTGTAAGGAGAATCTCTCGCTCTCTCTCTCCCTCCCCCTCTACCTCTCTCTCTCTCTCTCTCTCTCTCTCTCTCTCTCTCTCTCTCTCTCTCTCTCTCTCTCTCTCTCTCTCTCTCTCTCTCTCTCTCTCTCTCTCTCTCTCTCTTTCTGTCTCTCACTCCATATGCTGGGGATAGTGGTGGGCTGTAGCACACACACAGACAGGGGCATGTGAGAATGGTTAGGGAAGAACAGAACAGAATAGAGGGATTGCGTATCTAGGCAGGCAGGCAGACTACATACACACACACACACAGAGCCAGGCAGGCAGAGGTATGTGATGAGCCCCTGACAACTGCAGGCATGCAGGCATGCAGCTACTGCCTCAGTCTCAGCGTCTTCCTCCCAGCTCAGCTCTGCATCTGCCTGGGAACAGGACTCCGCAGAGAGAGAGGATTGAAGAGCAGGTTCATGGTGGTAACTAACTGGGCTTCTTCATCTAATCTTTGTGCTGTGCTGCTCTGCTGGCTCGGCTGTCTGTCTGGTCCTCTCTGTGTGAAACGCAGCTACCCAGCCGCTAGCCGTCCGTCAGTAGCTGTCGGTGCATTGTGTTAATTTGTGCTATAATCCGAGCAACACGTCTTAGCCTCTGCTGGGGTTGAGGTTACAGCAGCATCATCGACAGCCAGGGTCGTTGGGTTTATGGCCGTCATGTATTTTGTATGAGGAAGGATGCTATAGGTGAGAACGAATGCTAACGTTGTATATTCCAACCTTGCTTTTTGCTCATAGTCATTGTTGCTGTTGCATGCACTGGTTTATTAAATGCATGGAGAATGGCTGTGCATGTTTCCAGTAATGGCCAACTGCAATTCATTAGTACCCGCATTGAACTGCGTCATTAATTGTTCTGTGCGATACTAGAGCCTTAGCTACATGTCTTATTTCCCATCCTCGTCTTGTTGGATATGAAAACTTACCCCAATGCCCTTCAGTTTTATCCACAGTCATGTTGTTTATCATGTAACGGTCTGCAGCTATCTGTTGTTTATCAAGCTGATGCTAGGAACCACAGAATCTAGACATTAGCAGTTTGGGGGCCGATCAATGATGACCTGTCAATCAATGAGCTGCTATCACTCAATGCTGTCAATCCCCTAATGATGCTGAATGTGCGTCTGTAGAGAGTTGAGGGGTAAGGGGTGAAGGTTCAGGGGTTACGAGTCAGTCTGATGACCTTTCACCCGATCCATAGTTCCATAATGAGGCCCACCATGATGTATGCAGGAATAATTTGACAGACACCAACGCAATCCACCCAATCCATCCTTGAACAGCACCTAGCATTGGTGCCATTGTGTCAAGCTGTTATGCGTTGTTGGGAAATTCCATTGTTTATCTAAAAAGGATAGACTCGTCCTGTTGTCTCTGCTATTTGGGATATTTTCTGCAATCTCAAAGGCTTCCCTTGCATTCCTATTCCCTAGAATTCCCATTCCATTCCATTCCAAGGCTTCCCAAGTCATTCTGTGAAGGAAACAGATACAGATATGTGCCCTTAGTCAGTCTGTCTGTCTGTCTGTCTGTCGGTATGTCTATCTCAGTACATTCAACAATGAGAGCCTCTCAGAGTCAAGAGTGTCATGTTTAAAGTACAGTCTGTGTCTCAGGATATTAAACACAATTTCATTAGTCAAACCTACCAGGTTCAGAATGGATTAATATCTGTTGCAATTCAGCCCATGATGGCACCATTAACACGGGTAGTCTATGCTACAGAGAATGCTCTCTCAGGCCCCTGAGTGTATGATACAGTGAACCCACTTCCTATAGCCTCTCACATGACGCTTACATCTCTCTTTATTTCTCTCTCTCTCTCTCTCTCTCTCTCTCTCTCTCTCTCTCTCTCTCTCTCTCTCTCTCTCTCTCTCTCTCTCTCTCTCACTCTCTCACTCTCTCACTCTCTGTCTCTCTCTCTGTCAACCTCTCTCTATCAACACTGACCATGCCTCTTTCAACCAATAGCAGATGACATGTACAGTTGATTGACAGGTGTGTCTCTCCAATCAGCATTACTCTGGCCTGGGCTGCAGGCGCTCCAGCTCAGACGCAGCCTATGAGCCGGCCGAGTCGGTGAGGGCCCAGCGCGAGTGCCGCCTCCGGCCCCACTACAGCGACCCCATGCCAGCCGATGCCACCAAGCGCAAACAGCTGGAGATGAAGATCGCTGCAGCTGCACGCCTCCACAGCCAGCGTCGGGACAGGGACAGTGGTGAGGGGAGCTACATATCAAAGATCCCTATTCAGCCCATATCAAGCATCCCTGTTCAGCCCATATCAAACATCCCTGTCTAGCCCATATCAAACGTCCCTGTCTAGCCCATATCAAGCATCCCTGTTCAGCCCATATCAAGCATCCCTGTCTAGCCCATATCAAGCATCCCTGTCTAGCCCATATCAAGCATCCCTGTTCAGCCCATATCAAGCATCCCTGTTCAGCCTATATCAAACATCCCTGTTCAGCCCATATCAAACATCCCCGTTCAGCCCATATCAAGCATCCCTGTTCAGCCCATATCAAGCATCCCTGTTCAGCCCATATCAAACATCCCTGTCCAACCCATATCAAATCAACAGTCTAACTTAATCATAATCACACATTATCCTCAGGAATAGTATTTCCTAACACAAGTCTCTCTTCGTGTGTTAATTCCCCTTGACCAATCCTGACAACGTACCATTCCACAAAACTACCCACACGAGTCATCACACGAGTCATCACACTCATCCTTCTCATCCTACTTACCGTTTGGGCAGTCTTCCCAGCGGCCTTGTCTGGCATGGAGCCCATGTTGTGCAGTCTAACAATGAGCCAGGTTAAGAAACCAACACCCACATGAACCCAACCTCAGTTCTACTGCCACAAACTTTATTATTCTTGAATGTGACCTCACTTACTCTCTCTAAAGTGCTGTCCTCATCTTTACATTATGGACCTCAACACTGCAGTGTGACTGTCTCTTTGCTATTGAAACATTCTGAATCACTTATTTAGAGCCTCAGCCCCCTCTCTGTTTTCCTCAGATTGTGTTCAGGGCAGCCAGCTGAATCACTGTAAAGGAGCTAGCTATCAAGTAGGATTTTAAATGGCAATCTTCAGAGGCCCTTACACTAACATACCCTGCAATTTTAAGATTGGGTCTGTTTTGAAGAGTAGGAGCCTATTAGTATTGTCTCTTCAGGATAGGGCTGCTGTGTCGAGTTATATAACAACAAATTGCAGTTTTCTCAGAATGTTTGTGACCTTTCACTCCTCAATTCCCTTATTGCTAACAGGGTAACACCCTGCACCCTCAACACAAAACTATCTGGCATGTTAGGGCATGTAAGTCTATATGCTATATGACAGGTTTTGGCATAAGGTCAAAACTGGCTCACAAGTGATTTTTTATTTTACCCCTATATACAGTACCAGTCAAAAGTTTGGACACACCTACTCATTCCAGTTTTTTTTTTTTTTTTACTATTTTCTACATTGTAGAATAATAGTGAAGACATCAAAACTATGAAATAACACATATGGAATCATGTAGTAACCAAAAAAGTGTTAAACAAATCAACATATATTTTATATTTGAGATTCTTCAAAGTAGCCACCCTTTGCCTTGATGACAGCTTTGCACACTCTTGGCATTCACTCAACTAGCTTCATGAGGTAGTCACCTGGAATTAATTTCAATTAACAGGTGTGCCTTGTTAAAGGTTAATTTGTGGAATTTCTTTCCTTCATAATGCGTTTGAGCCAATCAGTTGTGTTGTGACAAGGTAGGGGGGTATACAGAAGATAGCCCTATTTGGTAAAAGACCAAGTCCATATTATGGCAAGAACAGCTCAAATAAGCAAAGAGAAACGACAGTCCATCATTACTTTAAGACATGAAGGTCAGTCAATCCGGAACATTTCAAGAACTTTGAAAGTTTCTTCAGGTGCAGTCGCAAAAACCATCAAGCGCTATGATGAAACTGGGTCTCATGAGGACCGCCACAGGAATGGAAGACCCAGAGTTACCTCTGCAGCAGAGGAAATTGCAGCCCAAATAAATGCTTCACAGAGTTCAAGTAACAGACACATCTCAACATCAACTGTTCAGAGGAGACTGCGTGAATCAGGCCTTCATGGTCGAATTGCTGCAAAGAAAACACTACGAAAGGACACCAATAAGAAGAAGAGACTTGCTTGGGCCAAGAAACACGTGCAATGGACATTAGACCAGTGGAAATATGTCCTTTGGTTTGGTCCAAATTTGAGATTTATGGTTCCAACCACCGTGTCTTTGTGAGACGCAGAGTAGGTGAACGGATGATCTCCGCATGTGTGGTTCCCACCATAAAGCATGGAGGAGTAGATGTGATGGTGTGGGGGTGCTTTGCTGGTGACACTGTCTGTGATTTATTTAGAATTCAAGGCACACTTAACCAGCATGGCTACCACAGCATTCTGCAGCTATACGCCATTCCATCTGGTTTGCGCTTAGTGGGACTATCATTTGTTTTTCAACAGGACAATGAACCAACACACCTCCAGGCTGAGAAAGGGCTATTTGACCAAGAAGGAGAGTGATGGAGTGCTGCATCAGATGATCTGGCCTCCACAATCACCCGACCTCAACCCAATTGAGATGGTCTGGGATGAATTGGACCGCAGAGTGAAGGAAAAGCAGCCAACAAGTGCTCAGCATATCTGGGAACTCCTTCAAGACTGTTGGAAAAGCATTCCAGGTGAAGCTGGTTGAGAGAATGCCAAGAGTGTGCAAAGCTGTCATCAAGGCAAAGGGTGGCTATTTGAAGAATCTCAAATATAACATATATTTTGATTTGTCGAACACTTTTTTGGTTACTACATGATTCCATATGTGTTATTTCATAGTTTTGATATCTTCACTATTATTCTACAATGTAAAAATAAAGAAAAACCCTGGAATGAGTATGTGTGTCCAAACTATTGACTGGTACTGTTTATTTTAGGAAATGTGTTTCTAAGTATTCCCACAAATAAAAAAAGATGTGTGATCGTGTCTCAATGTAATCAAGGTATGAAATGATAGTTATCTTCAAATTCAATCTCTTTTTGGGCTTACTTGTATTCAATTTGCAGTGTACAAATTATTATAATTACTGTATGTTCCGACAAAAATCGGGCTGCGGCTGAATCTAGTTGCCTACCCCTGCCATATGGTAATGTTGACCTTATACTATTGACATTATTGCCAGAACAGGGGTCAAACCTTAGAGGCGAGGGGATGGTGTGGGGGTAAGATTGTTTTTTACATATCTGACCATGTTATCCATTTATATAATTTTGCGTTACAACAATGCGGGATTGATTGGAGACAGGGAGGTCTCTTGTACACCTGTTAACAATGATGTGTGACTTGAATCTAGCCCATAGGCATATTGTGTGTTTATAAACATTGGTTGGTCTAACCTGTGTTCCTTCCTGTGTGTGTGTGTGTCCCATAGCACCTGCCTCGGTGCGGGTGCGCTCTGAGCCCCGCGGTGAGGAGCGTCTTGGGGTTCTGGGCGTGACAAGTGCTGGGCATAACCGCTGGAGCACTGTGAGCAGCCTCAGTGCCGACAGCGGTGTGGTGGGCCTGTGTGACGACCGCGACGATGACGATGAACCCCGGAGAGTACATCGCAGCGGAGGGGCAGAGGTAGAACGGGTGGACAGTGGGATTGGACCCTGCCTGGCCCGCGGCTGGAAGAGACCCTCTAACTCCCTCCGGGCCTGGGAGGCCCAAAGACCCTGCCCAGACTGTGGCCAGAGAGACGGGCATGGGGTGGCCCGGACGGACGGGGAGGGTACCAGTATGTGTGAGCGCTGCTCCAAGTTGAGGACGGAGAGGAAGGAAGCCATCTTGGAGTTCCTGAACACTGAGTCAAGCTACGGGGAGGACCTGAGGATCATCAAGGAGGAGTTCTACTGTCCCATGCAGAGTGCCGGGCTGCTGACCTCAGAACAGCTGACTGTGGTGTTCAGCAACGTTCAGGAGCTCATAGACGTCAATGAACGCTTCACTGAACATCTGCAGGACAGCATCGATCAGGCCTTCGACCAGGTGAGGTGACACTTTTGAACCTAGACCACCAGTCAGCTCAACAAATGTTTAAAATTATCATGCCAATCTCATAGGCAGCAAATCGTTACATCCATGGCTCTGAATTTGAGTTGTGGTTACACAGTGATCAATGTAATCATTGTCATTGTTGTTGTTCCCTTTCAGGGAGATGAGGACCTCCTAACAGTGTGCATTGGAGAGATTTTCCTGGAGTTTGTCAACATGCTGCCAGCCTTCCAGACGTACTGCCTGCAGCAGTCCATCTCTGTCAACATGCTCAACACCTTGGAGAAGGAGAAGGAACTGCTCAGGTAAAGACTGTGTAAAAGTGCACTTCAAAGACAAATAAGGGAACTTTGGTTTTTATTTTTCCTAATTCATGATTGAGATCAAGATAACATTTACACCAAATGTATTGTATAGAACATTTCCACTGACCAGAATTCTCTGCGCTCTTGCCCTCTTCTGTCCTCCGAGGACTGGAACAATAACTTTGAACCCTAAGTTCCCACTACGCTGTGTGGAACTTAGTGGAAGAGACGGAAAGTTATCATTAATTCATAACTAGTCCTATTTTGAGAACGGTGCTGAAGTCAATACTTTTTTTAGATCCAGCCAACTACATCACATCTCACCCATAATGACTCAGCCTGCCTTGTCTTCCCACTGGGCACAGATATCAGTTCAACGTCTAGCTTTGATTTACATATGGTTGAATTGTCAACTAACGTGAATTCAACATGAAATCAACAAAAAATTTTACCATGTCATTGGATTTAGATTTAAAAAATATGAATTTCCCTTACATTGATGACTTTCTTTTAAATCACATTGAATTGTTTTGTTGAAATGACGTGGAAACAACGTTGATTCAACCAGTTTTTGCCCAGTGGGTTGTGATTCCCACTTCTCTCAAATTTAGAATTAGGTCTGAGACTCTCTGGCCTACCATTGCAATTAAACAGTATGCTAATTTCATTCTCTGTCTCTTTATTTCTCTTTCTCTTTCTCTCTCTCTCGCTCCCTCTCTTTCTCTCTCTTTCGCTTTCTCTCTCACTCTTTCTCCCTCTCCCTCCCTCTCTCTCTCTCTCTCTCTCTCTCTCTCTCTCTCTCTCTCTCTCTCTCTCTCTCTCTCTTTCTCTCGCTCTCTCTTTCTCTCTCTCTCCCTCTCTCTCGCTCCTCGCCTCCCAGGATCTTCCTGGATGTCTCCCAGAATGACAATACAGCCCTGCGGCGTATGAACCTGCGGTCCTTCCTCATGGCCCCCCTCCAGAGGGTCACCAAGTACCCCCTCCTGCTGAGCCGCATCAGCAAGGCCACCACAGAGTGCCACCCGGACCACGCCCGGCTCCGAGAGGCCAAGAGCCGTGTAGAGTCACACCTGGAGCACATCAACATGAAGACCAAGCAGGAAGGAACCCTTACCTGGTCGCTGCGTTCCTTCCGCCGTGACAGCCGCAAGAACCGCGAGGTCATCAACATTGAGATGCGAGAGATGTCCATGAAGACGGTGGGCTGGGCCAGGGAAAACACACGCTTCGTCATGGAGGGGCCCCTGCAGCTCTCCCAGCCCGCAGACGGACAGTGGGTGAAGAAGGGCAGTAAAGGCCTCAAGTTCCAGAACGTCCAGAGCCTGCTGATGGTTCGTACGCAGCGGCCTGGGGAGGGGCTGTCTCCGACGGACGGCGGGGCTATGGTGGAGCAGCAGGAGCACGGTGTGTGGGATGGTGTGATGGTGCTCATCAAAGACAAGAGCAGCGGCAAGTTCACTGTGCTCAGAGAGCCCATCCGCCTAGCCAACTGTGTGGTGTCGGCCGATCCTGACTGTGAGGACACCTTTGAGGTGCTGGATATACGGAAGGAGGCCTTTGTTTTCAGGGCATCTGACAAATCCCGCACGCAGCAGTGGTTCCGGCAGATCAAGAGGTATACCCGTGACCTGGGACCATGGAGGAAGAGGCGTAACGCGCTCCCCAATATCATGATAAACACAAACCAGGGCAGGTCCTGAGACTGAACCCTGAGGAACACTGTTTTACTCTTTGGCTGGATACCAGTGTAAATAGACGTACTACTCCTGCAAAAAGAACTGACCATGCTTCTGGATGGTGGACCAATTGTTTCTGAAGTTTTAGTGTGGGGCTTGTCTGAGACTTGTGAGGTTCCATGTTATGATGAGGATAGCACTTTTTTCTAAGAAAAACTACAAGTGCACCATATTGTAACGAAACGTATGAAGATATACACTGGACAAAAATATAAACGCAACATGCAACAATTTCAAAGATTTTACTGAGTTACAGTTCATATAAGGAAATCAGTCAACTGAAATGAATTAATTAGGCCCTAATCTATGGATTTCACATGACTGGGAATACAGATATGCATCTGTTGGTCACCGATACCTTTAAAAAAAAGGAAGGGGCGTGGATCAGAAAACCAGTATCTGATGTGACCACTATTTGCATCATGCAGCGCGACACATCTCCTTCGTTTAGAGTTGATCAGGCTGTTGATTGTGGCCTGTGGAATGTTATCCCACTCCTCTTCAATGGCTGTGTGAAGTTCATCAAAAAGAAAGGAGGACCAAGACACTCTTCATATAATTAATTAAAATGCCTTTATTTTTATGGCATGTTCAATGGAAACAAAGTTTAAAAACTCAGATGCGAAGTTGCTGGATATTGGCGGGAACTGGAACACACTGTCGTACATGTCGATCCAGAGCATCCCAAACATGCTCAATGGGTGACATGTCTGGTGAGTATGCAGGCCATGGAAGAACTGGTACATATTCAGCTGAATTGTGTACGGATCCTTGCGACATGGGGCCATGCATTATCATGCTGAAACATGAGGTGATGGCGGCGGATGAATGGCACGACAATGGGCCTCAGGATCTCGTCACGGTATGTCTGTGCATTCAAATTGCCATCGATAAAATGCAATTGTGTTCGTTGTCCGTAGCTGATGCCTGTCCATACCATAACCCCACCGTCACCATGGGGCACTCTGTTCACAACGTTGACATCAGCAAACCGCTCTCCCACACGTCTGCCATCTGCCATCTGCCATCTGGCCAGCACAGTTGAAACCTGGATTCATCTGTGAAGAGCACACTTCTCCAGCGTGCCAGTGGCCATCGAAGGTAAGCGTTTTCCCACTGAAGTCAGTTACGACACCGAACTGCAGTCAGGTCAAGACCCTGGTGAGGACAAGCACGCAGATGAGCTTCCCTGAGACAGTTTCTGACAGTTTGTGCAGAAATTATTCGGTTATGCAGACCCACAGTTTCATCAGCTGTCCGGGTGGCTGGTCTCTGACGATCCCACATGGTGAAGAAGCCGGATGTGGAGGTCCTGATCTGACATGTGGTTTGCGGTTGTGATACTGCCAAATTCTCTAAAATGATGTTGGAGGTGGCTTATGGTAGAGAAATGAACATTCAATTCTCTGGCAACAGCTCTGGTGGACATTCCTGCAGTCAGCATGCCAATTGCATGCTCCCTCAAAACGTGAGACATCTGTTGCTTTGTGTTGTGTCACAAAACTGCACATTTTAGAGTGGACTTTTATTGTCCCCAGCACAAGGTGCACCTGTGTAATGATCATACTGTTTAATCAGCTTCTTGATATGCCACACGTGTCAGGTGGATGGATTATCTTGGCAAAGGAGAAATGCTCACTAACAGGGATGTAAACAAATTTGTGCAAAAATTTGAGAGAAATAAGGTTTTTGTGCGTATGGAAAATATCTGGAATCTTTTATTTGAGCTCATGAAACATTGGACCAACACTTTACATGTTGCGTTTATATTTTTGTTCAGTGTAGTTCTTAGCTTCTGTCAAAAAAACGATCAGCCACTTGGATGACCAAAAAGGAGACTTGGTTGGTTGGGAACACTGCCGGCCTTGATTGTCAAAACGGTTTGCTCTTGAAGAAAGATAAGTGTTTTCATATACTGACTAACAAGGTGTCTGTGTTGAAAAGCATGGTTGAAGTTGATGATTGAAAAACAATTAAAAGGATTACTCTGTAGTGTTCATGAAAATGCACAAATGAGTGAAAATCTATGTTAAGTTATACAATGGAGACGTGGACTACAGCTCAGTAAAAAAAAGACAGGAACTTTAGTTTTCATTTACCTGACCAAGGTAAGTCAAAGCACTGGGCTCCTCCCTTTTATTTTTTGCCCTCTGTGTCAGTAGAACTGTCCACTGCCAGGAGAGAAGAGCAGCTATACGGCATCCATATAAGAAAGTCACTCAGTTGTCAGACAAAACTCCCTAATACCCCATGAGACTTCCTACTATGGATGCCAGGCAGACAGTGTCTGTCAGACACATTGGGTGGACATACTTATATCACTGGGCTGGGTTCAAGTCACAAAGCAGCAATAATTTGTGCAATTTTTGCTATTTATTTTTGTTTCTTCTGGTCAGACTTTGTAATTGTGGTAAATCGAGAGCTTATTATCCCACCTATGAGTGACAGTGATGTTATAGACACAAATGCGCTACAGAGGTTAAGACCCTAGAATAATGTGCACTTGAACTTCAATTCTAGGCCTGGTTTTGCCCGTACCAGTATTTTCAACTGCTTATTCAAACTCTCAAAGCCTTTACCTGATACTGAATGTGGTAGTAGAGCATGGCCAAAGTGGAGGTGGAAAGGCCTCAAACACTGGTTGGTCAACCTGGACCATGAGTTAAGTAGCTAAAGCGAACAGTAGCTCCACTCAAATGTCCCCACAGTGCGCTGTTCCACGACAAGCAGATGGGGAAATTATGAGCTTTTGTGCCTTGGGTATTTATTTCACTCTAAATTAACAAAAAGTATTTGTTCTGTTGTCAGTCACAGTAATGTTAATAAAATGTTGAGTATCTGGAAATGGTCACAGAGTCAGACTGCCCTCTGCCCCTAGGTAGCAGAAGTTACATATAGCCTGGTTATACCAGTCTGAACACTGCATTTACCAATCTGGATGCCAGAATAGACCTTACAGGCAATACTTATCACTCCATCTGGCTACTAGTGTTACTACATTATTACATCATAGTTTACCTGAGCCCTTATCTCAAGTGTGACTTCCCTACTTCTAACATGTGTTTTTGTGTCGGATGTTTTTGAATCTGATGGTTCTTCTTTCTGTTTGATGCACTTTATAATTAAGACTACAAACTAGATCCAGAGAATGGTGTGACTGTCACTCTCCAACAACGCTACAATGGCTTGCGAAAGTATTCACCCCCCTTGGCATTTTTTATATTTTGTTGCCTTACAACCTGGAATTAAAATTGATTTTGGGGGGGTTTGTATCATTTCATTTACACAAGATGCCTACCACTTTGAAGGATGCAAAATATATTTTTTTGTGAAACAAACAAGAAATAAGACAAAAAACCAGAACTTGAGCGTGCATAACTATTCACTCCCCCGAAGTCAATACTTTATAGAGCCAGCTTTTGCAGCAATTACAGCTGCAAGTCTCTTGTGGTATGTCTCTATAAGCTTGGCACATCTAGCCAATGGGATTTTTGCCCATTCTTCAAGGCAAAACTGTTCCAGTTCCTTCAAGTTGGATGGGTTCCGCTGGTGTACAGCAATCTTTAAGTCATACCACAGATTCTTAATTGGATTGAGGTCTGGGCTTTGACTAAACCATTCCAAGACATTTAAATGTTTCCCTTAAACCACTCAAGTGTTGCTTTAGCAGTATGCTTAGGGTCATTGTCCTGTTGGAAGGTGAACCTCCGTCCCAGTCTCAAATCTCTGGAAGACTGAAACAGGTTTCCCTCAAGAATTTCCCTGTATTTAGCACCATCCATTATTCCTTCAATTCTGACCAGTTTCCCAGTCCCTGCTGATGAAAAACACCCCCACAGCATGATGCTGCCACCACCATGCTTCACTGTGGGGATGGTGTTCTCGGGGTGATGAGAGGTGTTGGGTTTGCGCCAGACATAGCGTTTTCCTTGATGGCCAAAAAGCTCAATTTTAGTCTCATTTGACCAGAGTACCTTCTTCCATATGTTTGGGGAGTCTCCCACATGGCTTTTGGCGAACACCAAACGTGTTTGCTTATTTTTTTCTTTAAGCAATGGCTTTTTTCTGGCCACTCTTCCGTAAAGCCCAGCTCTGTGGAGTGTACGGCTTAAAGTGTTCCTATGGACAGATACTCCAATCTCCGCTGTGGAGCTTTGCAGCTCCTTCAGGGTTATCTTTGGTCTCTTTGTTGCCTCTGATTAATGCCCTCCTTGCCTGGTCTGTGAGTTTTGGTGGGCGGCCCTCTCTTGGCAGGCTTGTTGTGGTGCCATATTCTTTCCATTTTTTTATAATAGATTTAATGGTGCTCTGTGGAATGTTCAAAGTTTCTGATATTTTTTTATAACCCAACCCTGATCTGTACTTCTCCACAACTTTGTCCCTGACCTTTTTGGAGAGCTCCTTGATCTTCATGGTGCCCCTTGCTTAGTGGTGTTGCAGACTCTTGGGCCTTTCAGAACAGGTGTATATATACTGAGATCATGTGACAGATCATGTGACACTTAGATTGCACACAGGTGGACTTTATTTAACTAATTATGTGATTTCTGAAGGTAATTGGTTGCACCAGATCTTATTTAGGGGCTTCATAGCAAAGGGGGTGTATACATATGCACGCACCACTTTTCCGTAATGTATTTTTTTGCATTTTTTGAAACTAATCATTTTTTGCATTTCACTTCAGCAATTTGGACTATTTTGTGTATGTCCATTACATGAAATCCAAATAAAAATCCATTTAAATTACAGGTTGTAATGCAACAAAATAGGAAAAACGCCAAGGGGGATGAATACTTTTGCAAGGCATTGTATCTGCAGTTCATGAATTCAAAAGCTTTATTCTGTCTGTTGTATTGTTTATTTAAAGAACTCTTTATGTTAGGGAAACGTATAAGACCCCAGCTGACTACATACAGCAGGTCAAGGCAATACTTATCAACCAAATCTAACCTATGTATACTGTT